AAAAAAAAAAAAAAAAAAAAAAAAAATAATTATATAATAATAATATTTGTATATAGAGGGACTATATATATGACAAGGTTGTTATTTTTTTTATAAACTACATGTCGCGGTACCCAAACGTTGGTAACGCTTCTTCTACAACTTATTCTACTTCAACTACTTCTATACCACAACCACCTTTGACTACTATATTATCTTCGCGTTTACGACACGAACGAGAAGAACATCAACTAACTGTTACTTACCAGTCACCGCGTTCAAATATGAATACACTTCCAACTTTACCTCCCATCAGTACTCTTTCTTATGATAATTTTGGATATAAAAGTCCTTCAAGTGAACAATATCGTAACTCTCCTTCAACTCCTTACTCTGCTTCTTCTTCAACGTCCTCATTCACTTATTTACCTTCACCTCTTCCTCAACCATCAACTCCTACTCAAAATCCTCCATCACAACCTCCTCTTTCACAACCTTCATATTATCAACATCAACAACAGCAGAGATCTCCACAAACTACTTATTATTCTCAACCTGCTTATTCTTCTTATTCACAATATCCACAACAAAATTCTCCGGGTGCACAACCGTCCCCACGTAGAACTACACAACAACTTCAACAAAATTATTCATCACAACAACAACCATCCCCGATATATAGTTTACAATCATCATCAACACATCAACCATCATCAACACAACAATCTCATACTCCGATACGTCCATTTCAAAGAAGTCACACAACACAAAATGTTATATCCGAACCTTTTGTAACTGTCACGCCCGAGCTAAATAATAGACCTCCTAGACGAAGACGACGTCCCCCATTTTCTTATTCATCACTTATCGCTCAGGCCATTTTAGATTCACCGGACAAACGATTAACACTACGTGAAGTTTATCAATGGATAATGGAAAGATATCCCCAATTGTACAAAGCGGATGATACCGGTTGGCAGGTTAGTCAAAGGGCGCCAATCCCTTTCTTGGCCTAAAACTGGTTCTAGGGTAACCCCTGATTAATCCCTATTATTATAAAAAAAGAAAAAAAAAACTTGTTTAATTTTTTTTAGTAATGTTGTTCTATTTATTTTAACTTGTGTTACCCAAATTTTTTCTTTTTCTTTTTTTTTCCCACCCCTTATTTTATAATCTTTGTAACAAACAAACAGAACACAATTCGTCATAATCTTTCATTGAACAAGTGTTTTAAAAAGGTACCTCGTTCAGATACCGAATTAGGTCATTCAACGTCATCATCTGCAGCGAGCAAGGGTAAAGGAGGTTATTGGACTATTGACCCGGAATATATGTCTGCTTATCATGATGGTGTATTTGCGAGGGGTGGAGTACAAAAACGTAGACCTGGTGAAGTAGGTGTTGGTATACATCCAGGGATGGGTGGACCAGGACTTGGTGATGATGATAGTGGTGGTAGTGATACTTCTCCATCTGACAATAATATGGCGGGTAGATTGGTTGAAGTTGAAGATGATAGTGAAAGTACTTATCGTCATCATCCTCATCATATATTAAATCATCAACAACAATATCATTATCCCTCTCATAATGGAAATAATGGAGAACGAATACCTTTAACATTAACGGTTCCCTCTCCAGTGTCTGTTTCCTCTTCTACGTCTTTAATGACACCTCCTTTATCATCGAGTTTAACCCAAAAAAAATTTTATGTTCCGAAAAGACATTCATCTGAACCAAATTTTACAAATTTAACTTCTCCTTCACCTTCAAATTATGCTTCAAGTGTGAATGTGAATGCAAGCGGGTCAAATTCTGGAAGATGTGATGTATTCAATATAACTGATACAACAGATGTAAGTAATCCTTCGTCGGATCATTCCAATTTACATATAGATATATCACCTTATCCTGTTGAATCGAGAAGTAGTGGACCAGGTTCTGAATGGAATATAAGTAGTGATTCATCAATTAAAAGAGAAATTAAAATGGAGTATTATTATAATGAACATCCAGCAATTAGTGATATTCATTCGACTAATTCGTCAGTGGCTGGTTCAATGAAGATCCGTAATTTACTGAATTAATAATAGATTTACGACATATAATTGTATGTACATACTAAATTTTTTATTTTCATGTTAATTCGCCACCATAAATCGTTTCGGTTCACTTTTTCGAAAATTAAAATTTATTCAAAGACTATTTTATCAAATTATTAATTGTTTTAATCATCAACCTTTCGTTATTTACTCCTTCGGGTTTAATCTTTTATTTCATATTTTTCGTATTATCGCAAAATTTAAATTTTAATTCGTATTTTTATTATTTCTAAAAAAAAAAAAATTTCGCTGTATATAATTCTTTTTTACTTTATTAATTATTTTCTCCTCCTTATTTTTTATCGTTCTTTTCAAATTAATTTTTTTTATTTTATATATATATTATATATATATATANTTTTTTTTTTTTTTTTTTTGTGCTATTATTCGATTAAAAATGAATTAATGTTAGAATTGAAAATAGACTTTATTTTTCTCTTAGACTCGAATAAGAAAGATCGTAAAAATTATAATAAAAAACTTCCTTAAGATATAACGTATATATTTTTTTGATAGTTAATTGACTTTCTTAAATGTCACATCTTATACCTCTTATGAATTACCATTTAACCTAATAAAATACTGTATTGGGCTGATCATTTATTGTTACTAAAAATAAAAATTCAAAACAAGTTAGCTGTAGAAATTTATAAGAAGCAAAGATGCTGCGACTCGCATTAAATGGCCTAGGATCCGCGTACCCCTCCCTCTTTGATAGCATCTAACTACTCATTATTTTACATTATCGAAAAATAATAAAATTTATGCTCTTATGAACCATTAGCAATAAAAGCTTTATTAATTAATATACATATTATTTTGTAAAATTCTATGCAAATCCTATATTTCATAAAAACATAAATCATAAACTCTAATGAATATAGGATTCTACTGACTGCGACTGAAAAGTCAAGTATCTTTTTCTGGGTGATATGCAAATACGTTTGTCTCCAAGACTTCATTGGCTTCCTCGGGTTCATCAAAAAATCTCTCAAATGTAGTACGATCAAGTTCTTTTGATAGAGCACTGATGATACGCTTTCCCATTTCATAATGCTTATAGTTTTGAAGGAGTTTTGCATCAACAATTTCCTTTTTTAAATCTAAAAAGAATTAATCCAAAGCAAAATTACGTAAATTCGTTAGATGCAAAATATCAAAACCAAAAATACCTTCAAAGGACTGCCCTTCGTGAAACTTATCTGCAACAGATTTCAAATCCACAATTCGCCCACCAACAAAATTCATAGAATTTATTTCAATCACTGGTTTATATGCACGGGCTAAGAATAAAAATATCGATCAACAAATACGCTTGTAAATAAGAAAACCTTGTTGGCACTTACATTGCATTCTTCGGGTACGTTCCACTCACTACTGACAAACACAACAATGTACTTTTTGTTATCAGCACTGTGTTTTGCATCATCCTGGAGAATGTCAAGAATTCTGGGTTCTTATGAACCAAACAGCTGACATATGACCGGTGGCTTTCCATATTTCTTTTTGTAAATAGCAGAAGCACGTTTAAAGGTCTTACCCACTTTAGATCTTTTAATTCAACTATAAAATTGAGAAGCTGGATCAATAAGTACATTTTTCAATAATATAATGATAACAATAATCTTTACTTTTAGTGCCTCGTCCAAAGATATCAACGCAACCCGGGATTTTCTGGTCGCAGATCACATGATAGAACGATCAGGTCTTTACGAGACGTTTTATAATTTCAGGTCGAGACACAAAACTTGTCACTTGAAATTCCAAGGCCACCAGACACCAAAAAGGTTTGTCACAAATAGAATTTCAATTGCACAATATACAAAAACGACAAATATACTCGTACCGGAGTTGACTCTTCGGAAGAGGTGTGGGTGAAGAGTAAAACAAAAATGTGTAGTGTCAATATATACATATACATCGACAGTTAACGAAGTGGAAGAGCTGAATGATTTTGAAGGAAGACATAGTAAGAATTTAATGGCTGAAACTTAAAGACTGAATGATTATGAGCTTTTACCGACCTTCCTCATATTTTCCACACTATTGTATTTTAGTGTCCGACCTTATATTTACCCAACTTAATATCATTATCTCCGAGCCCAAACAAAAAAAATGTATGGCTTAAAAAGAAGCTAGTTGATGAAATTATAGGAGACGAAGGCAAAACATTACGCAAATAAGGTATGAATATTTCGGTTGCGCCTTCAGAGAATATCCAATTCCTCGTTCAGGTTTTCTGAAGGTCTTATTAGCAATACGGGAATGCGAACAACATAAATTTTCGGTGGGGGCTCTACTAACTGACGCTGATGACCATTTTTTTCTATCCAGAATATCGATGATTGGGGCAATAAAACCGAATCGTGGAGTGGGATTATGTGGGTAAACGAAGTCCTTAGACATTACATCATTTCTCGCGGCTACGAGCCAAATCATGTAATTTATTTGTATCCTGTATCAATAAAGGTAGATCTGGTCAATTCACATGTACACATTCGTGGAATTTACTGAATTAATAATAGATTTACATTTTATTCGTCATATAATTGTATTCATGTTAATTCGCCACCATAAATCATTTTCGGTTCACTTTTCGAAAATTAAAAATTTATTTCAGACTATTTTATTCAACCTTTCGCCATTCACTCATCTCGGTTTAATCTTTTATTTCATATTTTTTGTATCGTCGCAAAAGTTTAATCTCGTATTTTTTTTTCTAAAAAAAAATCTACTTTATTAATTATTTTTTCCTCTCCTTCCGATAAGAGAGATGCTTCGTGATGGCGACACATTACCTATAATGGAATGGACAGAATTTAACAAACAAGTGTTAATTAGTTTATCTAGCTGCGAATATTTTTTCTCATGACATCACAAATAAAAACATACGAAACTCACAATCTGCACGAGACATATCTGGTCTGTTGAACTAATGCGAACAAAATTCTCCAATTATTGTGAACACTATTATGAGATAATGAAGTAAATGATCTCAGAAAACCGAGAATATCTGATAACACGAGAAATGATTCATCCAGACTATGATCTTCTGGAATAGATCCTCATACTAGTTCTCTACAAAAAGAATCTTAATCTCGTTCCTTTTTTGTCCTCATCAAACACGACAACACCCTCGTTCTCATTTTGTTATTCTAATTCTCGTTTTCGTTGTTCTCACCTTCGTTTTTTTCGATCATAAGTGTTGACACTTTTTATACTGTAATGCATCTCGTAAATATTTTTAAAGTTTTCTAGTTAGCTTTTCATCATTATCGATTTGTGTAGGACAAAAAATATCACAAGATCAACTTTATTAAATAACGAAAAATAAAGATAAATATACCTTACATAAAGGATACAATTACTATAGTCATAAAGGTGTCTATAATCTACACATCTTTTAGATAGCAACTTCGTGCTATTAGCTGAGCTGTTTTGAGCTTTGCCCAAGCTCCGCCTGAAAAATGAGGAACATCGTTACATAGAAAAGAAATACGAGATAATTGTTCCTTCTTGTTCAGACTATAGTATTAACTAAGGTAATTTTTTACTATTTTTTCTTTTTTGTGACTTTCTACAAATTCGTACACTAATCTATTACATAACACGCTATCTTAACTACAATAATCTGATGATAACCTGAATAGTCTTATTCAAATAACTATTATGCGTATTTTCATCCCCATCAACGCGACGAAAAATTTCTTCCAGCTGGCCCATTCTCTTTGTGCGTATCGTATTTGTAGATTTTTTGAGTTCTTCAATAATTTGGTAAACTCCCATGTTCTCGTGAGTAAGCTTATCTAACGCAAAACGATTGGAAGGCAATTGCAATTTTTTCCAACCACGTTCTTTTATTCAAGGCATTGGAACCCGTTGGGGAATCTTTCCGAGCCCTGACGCTTTTTTGCGTGATGAAGAAACTTTTAACCACCACTCAACTTGAGAAATACCTGCGGGAACAGAAACGTAAAAAGATGTTGTATATGGTTGCCTATATGCCCCACGTAGACAAAATTTATTTATTGTTCTACTTAGACCATGTATACCAGACTGTATACCAAGTAATTACCAACAAAAATAAATAAATAATAATCGAAACAGCTTATTGCATGCAATTGTCTGATGCGATACATAATCATATTTTACAGAACCATCAGTAAAACCTATTTTTATATAAATTTTATGTATAATAAATCTTGCATAGGAACCGGTTTCAAAATCAGAATATAAGGGTAACTACTCAGCTTGCGTCTCTCATCGCATATCTTTCGGGAACGAATTTTCACGTAAAATCTTTGTAGTAGAATTTCCACAAATGAAATTATTTTTCTGGTTAACGAGTCTATGTCTTCTGATCGTAAGTGCATTCTATTTTTTCTAACTGAATAAGGCAATGTTTGCAATAAGTTTTAGCTACGATAATAAATTAAAATATGATTGATTCTCTTATAGGTACCCATGGCGTACTTACGTGATTTTGGCTGAATAAAATCTGTTGTTTCTTGTACACTGAAGGATCCTTTTATATGTTGATATCTGTGGTCAAAAACTAATTGTCTACTTTGTTCACTGAGTGTACTCTAATAGATAACAGATAATCTTCTAAAGTGTCTCTAATAAAGATTGGGCGCAATAAACACGAAATTTATTGCAGTGTGATCTACATTTTCTATGCAACCTTCATTAAAAAAACTATAATCCGAGATGACGAGTCGTACCTTATGTTATCATTCTAACATTGCGAGTCTCTATTTTTTTGTACGTAAATATAACTGTTCGTTAATACAAAAAAATAAATTGTCTACATAATCTAGTATTTTGATGTAGCTATTCGTGTTGAACTTCGATGATTATACTAACATCGACTCTATAAACTTTCCCCACATGATACGCTCTAGCATGGAATCACTTCGAATAAATTCCCCTTGGGTATTTCCATCATGTGTCCTATAAAGATTAATAGACTGTTTTTCAATATTATGAAGTTCTGAGAAATACTTGCGTAACTTGTCCTTCCATTTGACTAATGTAACCGTTGCGTGGGTGATCTTCCACTGGAATTGTTTCTCGTGCTTCTCATATACAGTTTTTTTATAAATGGCTTTACAATGTACTTCCTTCCAGGCATTTGAACTTATCATTACATGGAGATGGTCAGGGTTATAATTGTAGATTGAATTAGCGAAAACGCTCTTAATTTTGTCCAAGTTTTTCATGACACACTTGTCTTCCTCACATGTAATAACCTGATTAGGAGAAATGTTTATGGCCATGAGTTTTAGTTCGTTGGAAATAATATGACTAGAGAGGTTTCCATCGTTTTTTGATCATAGACTTAAGTTCGCCAACATTTCTTTCTACAGAAATTTCAATCGGATAGTACGTATCGGAAGGGTATCCAGAAATTATACAGTTGAGAGCAACAACTGATTGCAAGTATTTTGTTATTTATTGTAACGGAAAACCAACGTAAGCAAAAAGCAACACTAACCTTCGATTTTAACAACTACGTGAAGATTAGATTTTGGAGGATTTTCTTTCCAAATGTCTTTGATTCCAAAATATGACAATATTTCGTTGCTGTCGAAAAGATCAAAACAGGGAAATGTATTATTGCTTCCTATATGGGTATTTGTACGCTATAATCTGAGGTCACTTGACCTTGACGTGTAGATATATATACTGTGGGTGATAATTTTAACACTTTAAAGGGGAATTTGTCAATAAGAAGTCTTGTTTAACGATGAAAAGTACTGGCGTCAATGGTATTGATATCCTTTTTAAATATTCAATGTTGTAGCGCCAACAGTTTCGAAGTAATCTTTTTCAGCTTTAATACATCTTTTGAGTTCACCAATCATTTCGTTTTCTTTAATTTTGATAGAGATTATGTTTCTGAATGGCTTTCCCAGAACTAGACAATTTGATGTTGACAGAACGCATTTTTCCGTGTTGAAAGAAACACATGAATTAGCATATTTGATTTTCTATATTCATATTATCATTTATCCTCATCAAGGAAACTTTTTTAACCATGAGTCTAGTTTAAATTTGTTGACAACATACAATACACTATAAAATTGATAAAATAATGATACTACTTTTTGAGTGAGACTCAATATCGCGTCTAGTTATTGTCGATAGTTAACTTACACGAAACATGCAGTCAGAAAGTAAATAACGTTTCATAATATTAACCCTACCGAAATTTTATGTTGTTTGCGTTCTGTGATCTAGTAATGTATTAGTAAGGTCCTTAGAAAACTATATAAAAAATGGTCATTAGTTTGCACAGCCGAAATATTCATACCTTAATTGCGTATTATATCGTTCAGGCTTTAATGTTATCAATAATTTTCTCGCAAATATTTACTTCAACGAGTTCAGGCTTGGAGAAAATAATATAACGGTATTGAGTGAGTTACTGCGCTTTATTTTTTTTAGTCCGAAAAATGAGAATTTTTTTCTCTATTTGTCACCTGTATAATATATCACCTGTGTTACCATAAACATATGGTGTGGTAAGATGATCCCCGTAATAGTAATTAATCATAATTACTCATGAGAAGCGATTCATTTCTTTCGCTACTGATAAACTTATAACAAGCCACCGAGTCTATTTTATCAGTCATGATGAGGTTTTTACAAGTATATATACCACCAAAAAACTCTTTCAACTTTTTTTAACTTACTTCAACTTATTTCTTTTTGACTTTCATTTGTTCACTCTTATTAGAAATTCCAATCATCAAAATTAGTATTATTCAAAGAATTCGACCATTACTAAACACTTTTTTACTAATGTCTCCCAGAATCATTCAGATCTTCCACTTCGTTAGCCATCGAGTGCAATGCAAAAAAAAAATATATTTATATTTATATTTATACTTTTGACGTTACATCTTATTTTTTATTTTTGTTTCTTTTCGGAGTCAATTACAATCTATTCATCCTTCCACACTTCCCAAGAGTACACTTCCCCCTTCTACTATCTAGTACAAGCATATTTATTGTTTTTTTCGACTACTGTTGAAATTAATCACCTTCACACTATTTGTAGGCTTTCACTGTGTTAGGCATTATTGGAATTTTTCTATCTATATCTGGTTTCTATTGCACGGGAGATCTCTGTCTCGCTTTTTGTTAAAATAAATGCAATAATAGTTGTCTAATCAAAACCATAAAAGAAGGCACTAAACCTGAAATTGGCATTTTGGATGATGAAATTTTTCTTCAACCTATAGTTGTAAATCTCCTCAAAAATATTTTTCAACCAGACAAAAATCAATCGTTTTATCATTCAGTCTTTGCTCTTTAAGAAAATAGTGTGACTTATTGTACAATTCCTATTTAGCACGTAGTGCCTGGTCATGAGCATTTAGGCGACCGATGGAAATTGGCGATCTTAGTAAGGATGAGTCAATGCATTATGCCATTATCTAGTTAACAGGCGCAAAGTCAAAAATGAAGAAGCAGAAAGGTTATACAAGTTAGTTGGTGGTTGTTTTGTTGATCTAAAATTTGTTGCTGACGAATCTCTAGCTAGACAATCATTTGAAGGTAGGAATTAAACGAGTTTATGTAATTTTACTTTGGGTTAATTGTTTATTCCTTTTCTTTGTAGTTATTGAAAAATCAATCTTAGATGAAACCGAGAAGAAATTTAGAAATGCACAAATCAATCCAAAACAAAAATATCATAAAGTAGTGAGAAAAATTATCAATTCTTTATTGGAAGCCAAAGAGCTTGATTTTATGACATATACAGATTTTTTTGATAATGATAAGGAGGCTGATGAAATATTGGAAAAGAATGTGTTTATGTATCATTCGGAAACAAATACTGTTACCTTTCAATCTCAATTGGTAGAATTATACATTAAGACAAAAGCTGATATTTTTGGTATTAAACTAATTGACCTTACCCCTACTAATGAAGATAATGTTTCCTGTGGCAAGAAAAATAAGTAGACATATTTCAGCCCTTTCATCATGTTATAGATGTGAGAAGAAAGCAAATTACAATTAATTCTAATCATGCAACAACCTCCAATCAAATGGATACTACAATGCAGATACCAGATGATCCACTGATCTTACCCACTGATGAAGATAATATTAATTCTAATCAAGTAACAACTTCCAATCAAGCAGATAAAATTTTAGAATTCACAATAGCAGAAAATGGTGAAAGCGAGATCAAATAATTCTTATATATAAAAGTCAATTCTTTTAATGCTTACTGTATTAGAAAGTATGTAAAAAATAAATATAATGTAGTTTGTAAAATAAAAACCTATACTAGAAATTCAAAGTGAAATCTTTATTCCACTATTTGAGAAATTCTTTCAAATTTCACCATTATATACATCACATAAGACTCAGTTGTTAACGCTTCTATTAGCCTATAATTTAAGATTTTTTCAAAGTTTGGCCTTTGATACATTTGTAAAAGTTGCTCTTTTATACTGGACATTGGATAAATTAATAATGGCGCATTAACAACTTTACCATTGTCTAGTTCTTTTTGTTTTAATAATGAAGCATTGCATTGTCAAAGTGAACGATGATTTGGAAATTGTACATGACCACATTTTTTTATTGCTTTGTGTTGTTGGATTGTATGTTGTTTAACATCATCTATATTATGTAATTTGTAACATGAAAGACATACGGAAAAATTGACAAATTGATGTTTTAATCCTAATTTCTTTCTTGCAGTATACAACGAAGTAGGAAAATCTTTAAAATGATCATAATTTAAATTTGTTAAAATATGTTTGATGAATTTAATTAATGTATTGATTGCGATATCTGCTAGTCAAAACCTAGTTTGATACCTCAAAACAAACACAATTATCCAATCTTCAATATTTTGCAGATTTTCATTGGAAAATCATAATTTGGTGGAGAGAAATCTTCAAAAATGTTGGTTTCTTCACCATCATTATCCCATCATCCCATCATCGCTATCATCCCCATCATCACTATCATCCCCATCATCACTATCATCCTCATCATCATTATCATCGCTATCATCCTTATCATCATTACTATCCCTATTATTGTTATCATCCCCATCATTACTATCACCATAATTATCAGTTTCTTCGTTACTGTCATTGTTATCATCACTGTCATTTATATTTTGCATTTGAGTGTCACACTCCAAATAAGTATTATATCTGCTTCGTTTTCTCTTTTTCGAAGAAAATGTTGACAAATTTTCTGATGTTGATATACTTTCTTGAAGGTCAATAGAGATTTCTTCATTAACGAATGATGATTCAATACTCATTGGGTCATTTGAAGTAGTTGCATTATCAAGACTTAGACTTATTAAATATTTTTATTTGGTTCTTGAATCAACATACTTTCTGTTGCATTTATTACAATAACATTTTTCTTTAATTCTTATTCTATTACATCTTTTATTAACATTCATCTACTTGTCGAAATCATTTTTTTCAGCATTAATACCTTTTGTCAAAAGTTCATCATCTTTGTCATGTGATTCATCACACATTCGGCTAATTACAAAATTCAGAAAAATTTTGGCATAAATCAACTGTTTGATTTTTGGTTAATTTTTAGTTGAGCTGTAATATAAAAAAAAACCATAAATTGACAAATACTTTTTTTTTATCGATTTTTATTAATAATAACGATTGACTTAAACCTTTTTTGATAATTTTTAACCAATTTTTTAATTAATTAATATCAATAAATAATAATGACATAATTGGGGTCTTTACAATAGAAAGGTACGAAACTCAAAAAATATCAAAAATTAAATTAATATTAAATTTGCATTTATTTCAGTAAAAAAACATAATTAGCATATAAAGTAAAATTGAATTTTTTTTTGAGTTTCGTACCTTTCTATTGCAAAGACCCCATATAAGTAAAATAAGAAAACACTGAAGTTAAAGATTTGTCAAATTTTATTGTAAATCAATTTATTCGTATTATTTATTATTAAATAACCAATTCCATAAAATTCGTTAAACAATTATTGTAAAGAAAAATTCTGTAACTTTTAGTAAATTACCGAATGTGAAACTTGCGATTTAATGGATTTATCGCTAAATATTCAGTTGCGTTGCGGNAAAGGTACGAAACTCAAAAAATATCAAAAATTAAATTAATATTAAATTTGCATTTATTTCAGTAAAAAAACATAATTAGCATATAAAGTAAAATTGAATTTTTTTTTGAGTTTCGTACCTTTCTATTGCAAAGACCCCATATAAGTAAAATAAGAAAACACTGAAGTTAAAGATTTGTCAAATTTTATTGTAAATCAATTTATTCGTATTATTTATTATTAAATAACCAATTCCATAAAATTCGTTAAACAATTATTATAAAGAAAAATTCTGTAGTAGCTTTTAGTAAATTACCAAATGTGAAATTTGCAATTTAATGGATTATCGCTAAATATTCAGTTGCGTTGCAGTTAAAAGAAATTTTATATTTAATGGACACAAATTGGCAAAGAATATTATGTACTGGAATAATACAATCCTTACTTTCAGGAAAAAAATCTGTTTTCCATAATTCAACATTGCATGTTTCTGTTTCTTCAGTATCATCAATACTAAAATGATACCGAATATTTGCTATATCTGCTGATCAGTACCATTTAATAAAAGCCAAATAATGCTAAGTAGGTCCATTTGGCAAGTCAATTTCATGCTTAAAATAATACTGGACTTGTCTAGAATAACAATCGATTTCTCTATCAGTTATTATGAATTTGGCCAATACATATGAACTTTTTATGTGTCAAAATAATAACGCGAAACCAAACACTTCAGATCCAATACGATGACTTCCAAATTTATCCATTTTTACATGAATAGTTATTGCATCTTGCTTTATAGCATCAGATGGTTTTTAAAAATTATACATTTTATATGTAGCAATATAATAATTGATCATTAAATCGAGCATCAATTGTGATAATACTACATTTTCAGAAGTAGGTCTTAACATTTCACCAGAAAACGCTTCACATTCAGTAACAGTAGATTCCTGGATATTTTTTAAATTTAGCCAAAACCTTTCATTTCATCTGAAGCGAATTGGTCATTTTCTGATAATGAGAGTAATTCAAGACCTTTCATCTGAACACTAAAAGTAATGATATCTTTAATTCAGTTATCATTCATTAATTGATACATTAGTTCTGGTTCAATTTTTCTATTACTATTCGATAATAATCCTAAGGGTTGTATTTAAAAGAAAATTTAAAACCAATAATAATAATAATAATAATAATAAAGGCTAGTATATCTTACTGAGTATTCCATTCATGCGTTCAAATGAAAAACACTAAAACGCATATAATTAACCAAAATCATGACAACATTTGGACAAATGAAGCAAGAGATGGAGATTCAGTGTAATTTTATTCCTGCTGTATTGTATCTCAATATATCAAACAAATTCTGACAAAATGAGTCAGAATTTTTTATTTTCAGTTGAGAGATGTTTCCAAAATGATACTGTAGCATAAATTGTGAAAAAATTTTACCACTAGTTAGCTGTAAAATTAAAAAAGCCTTTCTTGCAGTTGATTTTGCCAGGAATTCGACCTAAATTGACTGGAACTTGAAATTGATTCATTTGCTTTTGAACTTTATTGAGCATACTTGAAGTTAAGATTTCCTGATCAACCTTTTTGCAATGCCTAAAAATAAACAATACATTGGATCAATAATAGTGAAACGAATTGGGTTGAAATAAGGTAAGCGAAGTAGTTCTAATCATCTTACTCCAGTCTGTTTAATGAATCTCTTTCTTGATACGTCTGAATTAAACTGTTACCAGCCAAGTGTATTTTAGAAATGTTCATTTGAATCCCTGGCAACAAACCAATCCTCCATATCTCCCATTCCAGCAAAATTATGCTGATGATTCTCATAATTTGCCTTTTTCTAGCATCAATAATAAGAAACCAATGCAGAAACATAACTACAAATTTTTCTTGCAACGGGTATATTGCACGATACTATTATTAACTCTGCACAAATTTTTTTTCCTAACTGATACTTGTATATTCGATTTAGAATAATCCCTTTCCAGAGTGATGTCAGCTCATTAACGATTAGTGCAAAGTAATGATTAATTTTATGTAGACTCACTTCGTTCAGATCTAATAATATTTTAAGGAGCAGCAAATTTCTCACTTAAATCATATATTACATAGCAAATTACAGATAACTGCATAAATAACTTCAGTACTATAATTAGTTCTATCAAATGGCTAAAATCAGTCAACATTTAACATGAGGCCAAGATGCGAGTTGGCAACCTCATTTTAGAAAAAATTTAACGAATCATTGTTATTTGTATCTTTGAATCCTTTCCATATTCATCCATCATAAATATCAGATAAAATATTATCCAAATTTGATCGATTTGCCTAATGTTGAAGAGATTTATCAAATTCAGGTCGACAAAATATATCAAAAAGTTGTTGTTGAAATCCAGAAAATGGGTATTTTAATTCAGCTCAAACTCTTGAAATATTGATTTGTCGTGATAAAGGTATGTTACAAGTACGTGTATCTTGGTGAGACGAGTTTGAAAACTCAATATGGTGGCATTTCATAACTAATAAACTCTCATTTTGTCAAAAGTTTTCTACATCCTATTTATTATAAAGTTTGTGGCATTTTGTACATGAACAAATCTCTGAAATTGGTCTTTTAGGCCAAGTACTTTTTTTGCTAGGTAAAGAGAATCTGAAAAAGTTCTAAAATTTTTACCATCAATTTCGTTTAGAACTATTTTTATGAACTTTATTAAAGATTCGGTTGCTATTTCTGGGATATTGTATATTATATGGTAGTTTATTATCCACAATAAAATCCATGAAAAATTATCATCAATCATATTTTCTTCAGCATCCATGTTGGCTTAATATGGAGGAGGTGAATAATCTTCAAAAATTTCGTTGTAAGATTCATTATTTGATTCGCTATCCAAAGATATTTCAGTGTTTTGTTTACTAGTATTATATACATCTGATTCGATATTCAAACTTGTTGATTGAGGCATAGGATGGCTTGTATATCTTATGCGCTTCTGAGGTAAAAAAAACAATTAACATCTATGTCCCCAGGTATTTATAACTTTGTGTATTCCCGAAATCTGACCTTGATGTCAAAGTCTGATGAACGTCAACATTTACTTGAGATAATTCAATATTTTCGGTAATGTCTTATTTACTAGTTTCTTGAATTATCAAAAGAGCTTCATTTTTATTTGATTCGTCTTCATTCAAATCATTCATTTTGCCTCCTATCTCGTGTAAAAGCTTTGTTCGTTTTAATACTAATTTTCTATTACAATTATTGCAATATTAATACTAAACATTCACTTTTCAAACATAATAACGATTGAATAAAAGATTATGATAAGACAGAGATCCTAAACATTCTGAAAGATACTCGCTACCATTCACCTGAAGACTCAGAAATGGATAAAGAACAACTGAATGATAAAATATATTAAAAACATCAACTAATTTTATTTGTTTTAATGATTTTATGACTTTACAGCTTATCAATTTTCTCTGAAACATCTTAGATACTCATGTATTTTCTCTACAGATGGCACAATTAATGAGAGGGAGAAACTATGATGACAAAAGCCATTATATCTAGAGATGGGCAAAATGTGAAAATTTCATTTTATAATGCACATGATGCGCATGATGCGCATCATACGCATTATGCACATGACACCGTTATACAGATTAAAAATATGTAAAAAAAATCTTTATTATTTATTTTATTGAATTAACTAGATATATCAGAATCGTCAGTTTCATTATCATTAAAACTCTCTTCTTCACTTTCATTACTACTACACTCATCTTCATAATCACTCTCTACATTTTCGTCTGGAGTTTGAATTTCATCTATACTTCTTCCATCTATATTTTCTCTATCTAACAAAATATTTTTATTCAACTCATTTGTAAGCCCCTTCCATTCTGGCATTTCTCATGGCATTTGTAATTTATAATTACTAAAAATATATACTAATTTTAAAACACAGTCAGCTCTCAACCAGTTTCGTTTTTTATCATGAATATATGCAAAAGCTGACCAATTTCTTTCAGATGCAGCAGATGATGTTGGAATAGATAGAACCTTTTTTGCTACTTGAGTAAGTTCAGGTGCAGAATAACTAAAATTTCCACACCACCAAGTTATAGGATCAACTTTACCAGCAGTTTCCCAAGCAAGCTTATTCACAAAAACTCCATTTTTTTCCTTATAATTCAAGATTTGAATCAAATAATTGCTGCATTGTCTGAATAATACTTTCGGATAAATTGTGAAATTATATTCATTGAATAAGAAGTAAGGCGATGTTCGTGAAATGATGGATCAAATAGGTGCGCAACTTCCATAACAGGGTGGTAAATACTTTTCCACCTTTTTTCAATGATATTTTTAATATTATTTCCCACTATATCGAACACATAGATTTTTGATTATATTTATTAAAGAAAAACACAATATTTTACCTGATGATTCTAATTGATTGTAATACCAATCTACTACTTTAGATAAACAAGGCGTATCTGATTCAAATATAGAAATTCCAATAACAAGTTCATTAAGAACTTTAAGCAAATTATCAACATCTTTCCAAAACTCATCGTTTAATACGATACTTTTTACATCATCATCAATTCTAATAGTTTGATTACGTGATAATTCTGTTATTGTTAATTCAATAGCAAGCTGATTTAACTGAAGTGAATTAAGACAAATAGCTGATGATCCCCATCATGTTTTTACAGGTAATTTAAGTGAAATTTTCTTATCATAATTGGAATTTTGATATCGTTTCAAAATTGCAGATGGAACTTGATGTGATTTGAAGTATTTAACAATTGTCTTTCCTTTTTTCATAGTATTATTTGCCCAAGGGAGTTTCATAATATCACCAATTAGAAGATTTAAGGAATGAGCTACACAGCCAAGGAAAACTACTTTCGGATATTTGATAGCTAAAAATTTCTATGCTTTTTTCATTGAGGATGCGTTATCAGTAATAATTGCTGCAAGTTTGGAATGGTCAATTTGTGATATAACATTATCAATATCAGCCGCAATGTTTTCTCCTGTTTGTTTAATTTCACCAGTTTGATGAGCAGAGAAAAATACTGGTCTTGGTGTGGTAATTATATAATTAGTCCAATGTTCCTGCATCATATTTGACCTAGAAATATTACATTATAATAGATAATTACATTAATTAATGTAAATAGCAGTTTAAAAGAAGTATCTTACCATCCATCAGAAATTAAGCAAATATTATTTGCTGAATTAATCAATTCATTCATTTCATTTTTTGTATTATCATATACATCATCAAGTAATGTTGTTGATAAAGCTTTCCGTGAAGGTAATTTAAAGCAAGGATGAAGTTTTTGAAAAAGGATTTTAATTGGTTCTAATTCAGATAATGATAAAAATAAACCACATCGGTAAACTGCTTGTACAAATAATAATTCACATTTATCTTGTTCTGCTGAAGATATTCTGTTAACAAAATTATTTATTGATGGTTGTGATCGTGAAATAGGTCTTTTAACTGTAATAATATTGATACTATTTTGTTCTGTTGGTAAATAAGAATTATTACGTTGCTTTATTTTTGGTTGAAAATCTGGTCCAAAAAATCCTTGAAGAACTGTTATACTTGCACTTGAACAGGTTTTTAAATGTGCAATACATTTGTTAGCAGCAGCGTTTACTTCATAATTACAGTATTTGCATTGTGCCCGGGCTTGCTGAAAACCAGCCACATGCCCAAGTTTATTAAAGTGAGCCCAAATAGGACTAGCTGGAGGCATGTTGAATAAAGAAAAAATTTTTTTTCGTGAAAAATCTAATGTAATACAAACTCTATTTATAAATTCTATTTTCGGTAATCTATAATTTTGACCAGAGTTAAGGCATAATTTTTACCAACATTACGATATTATAAATTATCATAAAATTTATCATGCGCATTATACGCATTATGCGCATCACATTATGCAATACATAATGTGCATGGCACATCTCTAATTATATCATCTCATCTCATGACACTCTAAAAATGCTCCAGAATGGGCATACAAAACTCAAAATACGCCCGTCAATACAGACTTTTCTGGCTCTAATTAAAGCTCTGAATGGTTTAGGCTAAACTGGGAAATTGATCCAAAACTGGCTCAAAATTTGATTCAGAAAAACCGGAAGTTCAATTCAGTTTAATCCAATTTTTTATAAAAATGCGAAAAATCGAATAGCCATTCATCTAGTAATCGTATAAAGTCGAGCTATATATCATTAGATTCGTCTCAATGAGACACGTCAAATGGTGGTAAGATCACGTCTTTAGCATTGATAGATCACAAGTTAATCCACGCTAAATTATTTATAAATAATAGGAATTAGCAAGTTATCTATCAGTGCTAGAGACATGATCTTAGCACCATTCGACGCGTCTCAGTGAAACGAATTTAATGAATATAAATTCGTTTATGTATGATCGCTGGATGGTGAATAATGTCAAGTTTCACATTTTTTTTAAAATTTTTGAGTGTTAAAAATTAAAAATTGTCCGGGCTATATTTTGGCCAAAATTAAGTATAATTCCGGCCAAAATTAATCATAATGCGGGCCAAAAACTGTCCGATTAGTTTCGCAACATTTATTTTTTAACAATTATTTATATTTAATTTATTATTTTTATTGAATATAACTAATTTACACTCAGGGTGATTTTAATTATTTTCACCTAGGTGATTTAACCTGATAATTTTATATAATTTTAATATAATTCAGGTGAAATCACCTGATTAATTTTATTGATATAGTTCAGGAGATAATTAAATTATTTAAATTTAATAATTACGGCAGGTGATAACACCTGATAAATATTACATGAATAATAAATGGTTGTGATACAAAATTGCCATTGTTTATATAATAATGTAATTTACATTTAAGCCCATCTCTTTCGAAAAAATTCTGATACACATTAACGTGTTATTTTCTAAAAAAAATTTTAATCTTTACTGTTTATAAGCACGTATCTTGTTCTGTTTTTCTAAAACATCGTTTCCTAAAGCAAATTCATATCAATTATAATAATCTATACGAAATTACGAAGCTTTAAAACTATTAATAAAACCACTTACAATAGAAAATATTTTAAACCCAAATTTTTCCTATAGTCCCGATATGTTATTCAACTCTTATTATGATTCTTCATATAGTGGTTCAGACTTACTTGATGGTTATCAATACGAATCTCCTGACCTACCGATATTTGAATTTTATGGTTCTCCATATGATTCTTCTAATCTATTTTTTGAAGATCATGATATACTTAATGAAACCCAAATAGGAAATGTAAGAAAAATAGATGTTTCAGTAAATGAGGATATAAATAGGTATAATTTTTCAGAAGATGAAAAAATAAATAGCCGTCGGTATGATGTTTCAGATGATGAAGATAGAAATTTTAATCATCAAGAATGGGAATATGATGATAGCGAGTATGAGGAAGAAGAAAATATATTAGAATTAAATCAAGGGATGGAATTTGAAATATGGGAACTTGCTGAATCATACCTTAATGAATATGCAAAGCAACAGGGATTTTCTTTTCGTAAAAAAAAACATATACTGGATCCAACTGACAGTACAATAACAAAACGTAGAACGTATGAATGTTCACATGCCTGAACTCATGAAATCCAAAAGGTTATTTTAGAAGAAAATAAAAGGGATAGGGATTCCGAAATGATTGGATGTCTTTGGCATATTAATTTTTTTTTTCCTAAATCTGGAAATGGTGTTCGTATTAATAGTATAGTTGGGATACATAATCATGATATGAATCCTTGCATTACCGAGATAGCCCCAAAATTTCAAAAATTGACAGATAAAATGCTTGAGAAAGTAAAGTTTTAGATGATTAAGGGAAGATTAGGCATATCAACTCAATATAACTTACTAGTAGCCTCATTTCCAAATAAAGTGATTAATAAGAAAGATCTAAGTAATGCTATTCAACAATTTAAAAAACAAGCGAAACCTATTAAAAATGATGCATGTCAAATGCTTACTGAGCTATACTTAAAAAAAAATGATGATCCAAGATGGATCATAAAGCCACGCTTTGATCATAGAGAAAGAAGATTAAATTCATTATTTTGGATGTCACCCGATCAAATTAATGCATATGAAAGATACCATGATATCGTGATTGTTGATACGACGTCTAAAACTAATCAATTTGATATGATATTAATGCTAATCATTGTAGTTGATAATAATTTTAGAAACATAATAGTAGCTGCAGCAATTTTGGAAGATAAAACAGAAGCAACTTTCACATGGATTTTACAAGAATTAAAAAATTCTTGTGATTTTATACCAACAGTCCTATATTCTGATGCTGATCCAGCTTTAATATCAGCCATAAAGACAAATTATCCAGAAACACACCATTTCCATTGTATTTTTCATATAGATTTAAATTTAAAAAAGAATCTTAAAGGAAAATTAAGTGATCAATTTGAACTTTTTCGTGCTAGATTCTTAGAAATGCGCAATTCTCTATGTCATAAAACATTTGAAATAAAATGGAACACACTTATTAATGAATTTCCAGCTTGTGAACAATATCTTACAAGAGCTTTATATCCTTGTAAAAGTAGTTGGGCTTGTTATGCTATCAATCAGAATTTTACAGCGGGAATTTAAAGTACACAACGAGTAGAGTCTACTAATAAAATAATCAAAGATAGATTAAATAGATCTTTGTGTTTGACTGATGTTATTAAAGAAGTTCAAAAAATATTTGATCAACAATCAAAAAAGCAATATTAAACGAATGCAAAAATGAAATTCCTACTAGAGGAATACCATCAATTATGGATGAATATTTTTCAGAGCTTGATAAGATTCTGCGAGAATATTTAACACCACAGATTCTTCAAAAACAACGCGATCAAATGGCACAATCGTTATGTTATGATGTGGAATTAATTGTAGATTAGTTACCGCTCTTAGAAGTAAGTATATTGCTAATGGTTAATAAGAAAAATGATTAGTACTTGTTTAAAATGATAAAGACAATTGCTAAAAAAATACTTTCCTTTTTTTCATCTTTTTTTATAGATGGTAGATGATTTCTATCAACAAGAAATGGCCAGAGAGGATGATTATGATCAACCTCAATCTTTATTTTCTTCATTAATCAAAAATATACCTCATAATAGTATTCGGCAAGTATGGAAAGCAACTAGACATCGTGAACAAAAATCTGAACCACAACATATCATTTTACTTGATGACGGGTCGCATTTATGTACCTGTCTTTGGCTTATTAATAAAGGAATTGTGTGTAGGCATTTCTTTCAGGTTATGTCCTATTCAATTAATGCACAATTTCATATATCTCTTATTTCTCAATGATGGTATAATTATAACAAGTATAATATCGAACAACAACATAAAGAATCAGTATACCAAAATGAAGAAAACAAATTAGAGATAGGTCCGCGATTATCATTTCAACATCTTGCAAATTTTAGGCAAGCTCCTAGTATTGTACAACCTCGAGGTCCTAAACAAAAATATGGGTTTGGTATGGAATATGCTAAAAAGGCACTTGATTTGGCTATTTGGACTGACAAAGTCGATGAATTTGTCAATCAAATTGAATATTTTATTGAAAGTGTAAAGTCGGAACTATCTGACCAGCAGGAAAATGGAATTTCTATGCATATTAGTGATCCATTGCGAGTGAGACATAAAGGTCGACAACCTAATAGGTATAAGTCATGTGGTAAACCTCAAAAAAAGAAAGTAAGGCGTATTCAGGATATAACTAATACTACTAATAAAAATCGTAAAGAAGATGTTGCAGCAAGCCAAGAGGAAAAAAGAAAGAAAGACGTTGTAAAAATTGTAATCAAGTTGGACATTATGCTCCAAGATGTCCGAATATCTAAAAGTGTAAAAAAATTTTTTTTACAACGTCTAAATGTATTAATCTACTGCAATGACTAATAAAAATATTAGTAATATAATAAATCGTATGATAGTTTAATGATTAATGGTAATACAAAATTAAATAAGATTTTTAATATAATAAAATCACATGATAAGCCAGATACCGGTGAAATCACCTGAGTGATATCACCTCGTGTGATATCACCTCGTGTGATTTTCACCTGGAGTGCAAATTAGCAAGCTTCATTTTTATTAATTATTATTTTATCTATAATCTACATATTTTTAATTATAAATTATAAAAATTAACAGTTTAATTTATATTAATTATTTATTTTTTTTATTGATAATAAAAAAAAAAGATTTTTAATTTCGGTAAATTGATAATTAAATTTACCGATTTACAAATAATTTGAATAAACTGAAATTATATTTTATTAAGCAAATTTAAATCTACATTATTTAGAATGTTACTATAATTCATATTTAGAGTTTTAGCAAATTAGTGTAGATTTAAAATGTGATAATTTGATTTTTAGCAAATTAGGTTTATGTACACAGAGTACCTAAAGAATAGAATCCATTAATAAGCAAATACATAATAAAGTTGATCAGTCTACCTCTTTATGTGATTTGGTGATTAATATAAATGATTATGTCAAGTGCGAAGAATATTTTAAAAAATTTGAAATTAAGCATAATGCTTTACCAACTGTTGGATTACTAATGTTACATAATAGGTTTTTTGGTCAGGTAAATGATAATATCAAACAATACTTAATTCCTATTATATTAGGAAAGCAGCGATTACAAATGAATCAATCGGTATGCTATGATTTGAATCGTATTATGAATTAATAACAATTATTAGAGGTATGTTTTGTTACTTATTGATTATTTGTTTTTTTTGTTTTATATATAATATTGATTGTTTTTTTAGACAGATATCGATAATGAGAAGATTTGTATTGGACTTCAGAAACAAGAACAAGATATTCGTCAAGTTCTTTTCAAATTATTGATTAAAGATGTATCTCAAGAAATTGTATTGAAAGTGTGGTATATTCGAGCTACAGGAACATCAGGCATTGGTTATTATATGGTGCTATTAAACAATAGTATACATTTGTGTACATGTCTTTTATTAATGAATAAAGGCTTAATATGTCGTCACTTTTTTCATGTTACTACTTATTCTCAATCAGCCATATATTATATAACTCTTATATCAGCTCTAAGGTTGCTGGAGAAACTAGAAAGTTTTGGCAAGTTGGCGAAATGCCGAAATAGCGAAACTTTGCCAAAACTATATGAAAGTCTTATTAAAAAGTTAGCGAAACTCTGGAGAAAAGCGAAACCTGACAAAACTTATTATAAATGCTGAAACTGCTGAAACCTTGCCGAAACTATAATAAAACTATAGTAAAATCTTGGAGAAACTAATCGTAGAATTTTGAAGAGATTTAGACAGGTAACCTTAATCAGCTCATTGGTACCTTAATCCTAATATTAATCAAGAAACTCTTTTACAACAAATACCAGCTATTACATTATATTCTATAAACAATTCAAACGAAAATCTTTCTATTACCAATAGTATATTCAACCATTTATTTTCCATTCAATCTATATCATGCCATTCTAATTCAATAACAAAGTCAAATAAAACTATATATGCAGAGTTGTTTGAATTATCAAGAAAGGTTATTAATTCAGCTATTAAAGCTGATATGTATTGAGACCTATCTAATATGTTTAAAACATTTCTATATGATATACAAAATAAATTTAATGAAAAGCAGCAAACAAATGAAGAAGATTACCTTGATATTAACAATCCCAATATCACCAAGTATAAAGGATAAGGTTGCGAGCTAAACTGGTTTTTGAATTTGGCAAAATGTCTAAACCTCAGTTTTGTCAATTTTTTTATAAGAGTTTATTATAGTTTTGTCATTTCATATGATTTTTATAGTCAAGTTTCGCCAAATTTTTATTAATATTTTAATATAGTTTTGTCAAGTTTCGCATTTACTATGAGGTTTCACTCGCAACCTTAGTTTGACATCCACCAAAAAGGTTGCAATCAAATGTTGAACAATCCTCCTCTAAAGATAAGCATGCCTTAAGAAATAGCATGCAAATTGACAAAAATGCAGAAGGTAGTAAAGGACGTATGTAAGTGCGGAAAATGCAAACAGTACAGATATTATGCTAAAACTTGCCAAACCTTGATGTAATTATCTTGGGCTAGATTTTCATCAAGGTTCGTGATTCATTGAAATTTTAAGTTTAAGTTGTTAGAATTTGATAATATTTACTAATTTCATTATTTTTCATTAAGATTGTTGGAGTTATTAGATTATTATAATGTTAGCATTAGGAACGTTAGGACTTAGTAGGAGCATTAGGAGCATTAGAAGTATTAGGAGTGTGAGTATTAGGAGTGTTAGGAATTAGGATTATTGATTGTTAGGAAAGAGCATTAGTAAAAATCATTAGAATTGTTAGCTGTTAAGTTATTAGGATCATTAGAATGATGTTAGGATCATTGGTCATAAAGAATGTTAGTTAGAATTGGTAAGTTATTAAGTTGGTTTTTGAGTCATTACAAGCTTTAGAATTTGTAGAGAACAAACTTATATGTCACATGTAGCACAATTGATTTTATTAATATATTGTTAATTCATTAGTTTAAATGTGAACTTTTGTTATCATATGACTTTTATTATAATCACGTGATTCGTGTTCATACACTTTTTTTGGAAATGGTGTTCAAACACAAAATCGTCATATAATAAATATCAAAATATATGTAATATTTTGATAATTTTTATTTCAAATTTGGTAAATTTGGCAATTTGCATGTCATTACTAAAAATTTACCTAAATTTTACCACAATTTGCATTACATTTGTATAACATAGGGATTGGAATTGATAATTGAATCAAAGTCGAATCTCATTTATTAAAAAAAAAAATTGAAATTAAGCAAAAAAATTAATTTAGCATTGCATCCAAAATTAAAGTGTATGATTTAAAATATTTTTAAAAAAGAAAAATTGATCGATAATGACCTTTAAAACTTTAAAAATAATGAAATGATCAGCAATGATCGGTAATAATCGGCAATGATGTTATAGTAATTTATACAGTTGGGTATTAGTAACAATATATAATTTCTTAATAGATTTTACAATTTTAATTCAGAATTTATATATTTACTGATTAGGAGCATGCCAGAAATCAGCTGATTTCTCTCAATTAGTAGCCTTAACCTCTTATTACTATTAAATATTAAATATTATATATAATAATTAATATTATATAATTATTTTGGCTTCTAGTAATTCAATTTAAGCAAACTTTTTTTTGTTTTGTAAAGCTAGACTTTTAAAGCTAAATAAGAGCTATAAATTAAAAAAAAGTTTATTAAAATTGGATCACTAGAAGTTAAAATAATTGCATTATAATAATTATTATTATAATATAAATTATAAATACAATTATCTTGGCTTCTAGCGATTCAATTTGAACAAACTTTTTTTGTTTTGTAAAGCTATATTTGTAGAATTAAATAAGAGTTATAAATTAAAAAAAAAGTTATTAAAATTGGATCACTAGAAGTCAAGATAATTGCATTATAATAATTATTATAATGTAAATACAATTATCTTGGCTTCTAGTGATTCAATTTAAACAAACTTTTTTTTGTTTTGTAAAGCTAGATTTGTAGAGCTAAATGAGAGCTATAAATTAAACAAAAAGTTTATTAAAATTAAATCACTAGAAGCCAAGATAATTGCATTATAGTAATTATATATAAAAATAATTAAATTACTTATATTTATATTTAGATATATAAATATCACATGATATATAGACCTGATCTGAAGCTTGACTCCCCCACCCCCTTTCAAATCAGCTGATTTCTGGCATGCCCCTTATGGAATTAATTATCAAAGCTTAAAATGGATTATCTTTTAAGAAACAAAAAATCAAATCTACAAAGATTCAATAATCAATTTCCATCCTTAGCATAACATTACTAAAAATTTGCCTAAAATTTACACAATTTGTGTTATGTTTGCATAACATTACTAAAAATTTACCTAAATTCACCATAATTTACATTACGTTTGTATAACATTTACCACAATTTGCATTATGTTTATATAACATTACTAAAAATTTATCTAAATTTACCACAATTTACATTATGTTTGCATAATATTACTAAAAATTCACTAAATTCACTACAATTTGCATTTCATTCGCATAACATTACTAAAAATTTGACTAAAATTCACCACAATTTGCATTATGTTCGCATAACATTACTAAAAATTTGATTAAATTCACCACAATTTGCACTTCGTTTACATAATATTACTAAAAATTTGACTAGATTCACCACAATTTGCATTACATTTGCATAAAATTACTAAAAATTTGCCTAAAATTTACACAATTTACATTACGTTTGTATAACATTTCTAAAAATTTGCCTAAAATTTCTTACAATTTAATGATAATTTACTGAAAAGTTTCTCAATATTTGAATTGGGAATTCTGTAGGAACAATGCCATTTTGATAAAATTTGCCAAATTGTAAGTCCTCCATTATCCCAAAATTGTAACACAATTTACCATAATTTACTGGGATAATTCTCAATTTGCCAGAAAAATTCCAGGCAAATTTGTGACAATAGTCACCATTAAACCTGTATTATTTGTGTGAAATTTTCTACATTTTGAGTATCCTATATGTGTAAGATATATGTAAAATAAATTATTTTTTTACCAGTGCATCTCTGGTATCAGTATTTACTTAAGCAAACAATCATCTATTATTTTATCATAATGATATTTACACTTTAAGTTATAGGTAGAGATAGGAAAGATAAGAATTAATGTAACAATTATTCCACAAATGTAAAGATTGGGTAAGGATAATGCAATATCTATGTGCTATAATGGTCTTACTAAATATAGAAATCTGCAGCACTGACCATTTATTTTTTTCGGGCACAATTGATAAATTATGTGCAGCAAAGTCATATAACACAACTACCCTAGCCACACCAGTAAAATTTTGCACACAGGGCCGCATTACAGCATTATGCACTAACACGTGAAAATAAACAGTAATGAATAAGGGGGTGATGAATAAGGTTTTACTTACTCAAAAAAAACTAAGTTCCTCAGATAAATATAAACAGTAAAACTCTGTGATGAATAAAAAGCAATCACATGACTATGCAAAAATTGCCAGTGTGACTAGGCTAGTTCATATAACACTCCCCAGAGATCCAGAAAAATTCCATTTTTATAATAAATGAATAAATCCCTAAAAGGTAGGGCTAGCAGAATACATGAGTAAACATAATAGTTCCTAGAAGGTTAGTAAAAGTACAGAGGATAGCCAGATAGGAGGGTACTGTATTATGGAATAAAACAAAATTTTTATGATTTTTAACAATTTTATTACAACACATGACAACTAGCCAATAATTATTGCATATTTTATTGACTATATTGTGATAGAAGTCTCATTAAAAAATGTGATTTTGCAATTTTGCAATATCTATACAGTTTTTGGCTAAAATTATTGTCAAGCGCAACCTAAGTTGGCCTGCATTAAGATGTAAGCCGGCTAGAATTATCAAATGTTTCTTACTATAATTGGTAATTTTTTATTGGAATAAAATCGGAATTTTTTCCGTTATCGTGATAAAAATTGTCAGAATAAATCCGGGGTATTACGTTATCAGAATTCATGTGATAACATGTATGATCTTAGCAAAATTCTATTACCGTTATTTCTCACTCTAGCATTCTCATTATAAACATCAACACGCCAATCATTGATGTTGCGCTTATGACACATGGAACAATGTTCTTCTCGTGTTGATGAGACATAATGGTTTCGGAAAAATATTTATGAATTTGTAGTTTGTAGGACAGATAGATAATTGATCGAGAAGTAAATTTTAGTTAATTATATCACAAAGGAGAGCATTCACATACAGGTGCACATTGTCATCGTTCTTCGATTAAAAAATGAATTAATATTAGAAATGAAATAGATCTTAGACTCGAATAAGAAAGAAAGATCTTTTATTTATATATATATTTTTTTTGAGTTAAAAAACAGAAGTGCCATTTAAAGTTTTTTTGTTGTACAATGTCAATGTGCAATGTCACGCGTGAAGCAAAAATATCATTCTTGATATGTATGTTTATAATATGATTCTTTAATAGACATTCACTTGCCAGACGGACATCCCGGACATCGTAGAAATATAGTCCTTCGGACTAATGATTATTTATTGAAAGATATTCATTTTTCTTATTTATTGTTATTAAAAATAAAATTCATTAAACGATTTCATATTTTTTTTTGTTTTGTTTTGCTGCTTCTTTTATTTAGCCAAGTTAACATAATAAATAATTTAATAGCGACTTATCCTCTAATAATAAATAACGACAAAAGGTAAACTTGGATGGAAATATAATCATTTATGATATGTTAAAATGTTCATTTCAAATGAAAAAAAAAAAATAAGACAACGAAATCTTTTTATCTAAATTAATGATCCGTAAACAAAGAAAGAAAGAAAAAAATGTATTAAAAAACAAAAGTAATTACATTCTGAAGGTAAGGGATGGGAAATATATAGACCTGGGATAAAGTTAAATGGGAAAATAAAAAAAAAAGAATAGAATGTACAAAGAAATATATATATATAATAAAAAAGTACCATATATATGTGTATATATATATATATATAATTTTTTTTTTTTAACGAGAAAAATTATGATACAAATAGTGTAAAATTATACTACCAACCAATGATAATAGTACATTTATTTTCTCTGGGAAGTAAAACAATAGCAATAAATAAAAACCTGTTTGTTTCAATTTATCCCAATTCCAAAGAAAATAAGAATTTTTACCACAAACTTAAGATGTCGTGGATGGTGTGTCTGTTTCACTAGAAAGTTAATATAAAATTGTATATATGTAAGATATACTTGCAATATTCACAAAAATATATATTTTTTAAATAACCTTACCTGTTGCTACATCCTTTTAATACACTGAGTTGTTGCCTCAATGATTCAACTTCTTTAGCCATTTCATCTTGATTATGTTTAAGAGTATTGATGAACTCAACGGCTAAAAAAGAAAAGAAAAGAAAAATTAAAAACATTTTAAATTTAATTAATAAAATAATGAAAGAATTTTTACGCACCTTTACTCAAAATTTCCCACTTGCTTGTCTTTAAGCTTTTATCTACCGGTAATGAATCTCTAAGTTCATCAAAAAGTTCTTTCATTTCCTTTCTTCTTTTACGTTCAGCCAGTTTGTGTGATATCCTCAATTCAGGAGAACGAGAATATGGGGTTTCCTTTACAGGAGCCGGTTGTTGAATATATCCCGGATAATCATAGGCATAAGGATGGTATGAATGATGATGAGATGGATAAACTTGCGCACGATAACGGTCAACGTCCATCGGCATAGTACCATCTTGTTGTATAGGATCGGAGAATCGAGAGGGAAAGGTCATTACTGGCATTGAAGCGCGACGAGCTAATATAGGAGCACTAACTTCTTCTTGTACAATTTGAGATAAACGAGGGTTACTGAAAGGAGTATATGCAAGTGGAGGATCATTATGTTCAGAGAGATGAGTTTGTGATACACTGCTTGATACTGGATGATCAGAAACATTATCATTATACTGAGAATGAATAGAACATGATTCAGCATGAGATTGTAAACTTGTGTTTACATCTTGAACATTAAGTTTTGGCAACGAGCTATTTGACGAAATAAAAGATGATGGAGGAGCTGGTGGACTAGATGGAGCAGAGTAAGAATTCCTACGATCATAAAGTGATAAACGCTGTATATTTGGATCTCCAACAGATTCTCGTCGTTTTACGGGATAATCATCTGGATTCATTGGATGACTTGGTACCGGGACATTGATAACATTCTTTCGTTTTAATGGAGAAACCACTTCACCAACAGCAATAGAATGACGTCGTGGTTGTAGTTGTGCTTGAAACGCTGGATTCATTAATGGACCAGGAAAACCATCCTTGATAGGACTTGCACTAGCACTAATAGATGGTAATGCGTCTCTAAGTTTACGAGTTTCCATCGGTGAAAAAGATTGCTCACTTTTAACTGAAGATGGACGTGAAAGAGATGATGAAGGGGAAGGTGGATATTGATCTGTCACAAATGATCCACGACGCTCAGAAGAGATTGTGCCTGTAGATGGAAAGTTAATGTCAGGTTGCGAATACTGTCGAGCCAATTCTGGATTTGGAACAGATAAATGAAGTGAAGGATCGGTAATTGAACCACGTCTTTGTGCGGTCAAATAAGGTGGTATAGCGGAATGCTGAGGTTCTAGAGGAGCAAGTGAACGAGAAGTAAATGGTTCTGTGGTCGGTGAAGGAATAGAGGGAGAAGGTGTCATATTATTTTGGTCGGTTGGTGACGATTTGTATGACATATTATTATTTGTGTCATGAGGCGGAGTCGGGTTAGGAAAAGAATATTTGGATTCCAACATAGGAGCTTCCATAGACAATGGTGATGGGGAATGCGGGCGATTCAAAGTAGGTTTTGGTGGAGACGTATACTGTGTATCTTTTAATTAGTAATCAAAAAATTTATTAATTTTTGATTAAATAAGCTAGAATTTGGCAGTCATGATTAGCTGATTGTTTTAAATTTTATCTCAATGCGTTTAAATATTTATACCTGACTTATACAAATAAATATATTGAATCTTATTTTTAACACAAAGCATTAATTATATTTTTTATAGTTTTTTAAAGCCGTGCATTACTATTTGTAAATTAACTTACTTTGAATTATTGAGTGGTTATTTGAAGACGTATTGTTAGAAGAACTAGAGCCGTTACTATGATAAGACGATGTTATAGAATTATTAGATTGTTCGTAATTTTGGTTCAAAATCTGATGCGGACTTGGCAACTGAATTGCTTGAGTTGGCGACATCCCGCTTATTATAAGCGATTTTCTTATGCCGCGAACGAAATCGCTTTGGTACTATACTTTTTTTGCTACAAGTAAATAAAGTATATACATGTATATTAAAAAATATTAACAAATATTGGTGTTAAAATTGATGTCGGTTTTTAAAAGCGTTTAGGTTTAAAATTAATTTGAACATACATAAACCTGTCGAAGATAAAATTTTCAAAAACAAGGTACAAAAAGAAGTAAACTTTCGTATTTTATAAATAAAAATTTATTAGTTTTCTTAACGTTGGTCGAGAAATTCTATGTCAGAAAACAAAAAAAAAAATAATGAAATGAAGGCTCAGTGATGAGCTGAAAGGGAAAAAAACATTTGCAAGAACTCTAGGCCTTTTGTTGATTGAAATACCCAACACTGCCCCACGAGGGACTTGTCAAATCAAATATTGAATAGATTCTATATTAGTTATCAAGTTCTGTATCTGTAAAAAAGCCATGAGTTCATAATGCTAAACATGTGGACACAGTAGGAATTGTGTATGAGTACCTACGGCCCATAACCACAATTACCACATTGAGTTTTATTTTTGGCGTAGCCAAATATCGTGTGAATGGAAGTCATTAGTTATTCTAAGATCACATGAATAGATAATAGATAAGGTACTATACATAATTATCATATGACTTTTATTCACATTTTCAAAAATAATATGTTATGTGTAATTAATTTTTAATCTTCATATAGTAAAATTCGAAATTTTCAGCCCGGACAATTTTAAACCTTAAAATTATTACGACTTGAAAAATTAGTCTAAGTAAATGTACCGATTTTATATTAATTTCTTTTTTGTGTATGATGACATATACATTCATACATATAAATAAAATAAAATAAAAATAAAGTAAAATAAAATAAATAATATATATACTTAATCCACCAAAAGCAGTCTAAATCAAAAAAATAATATCGATGGCTACGTTTACAAATTTATTCTATATTATAACAAAAAAAATATATATATATAATCGTGAATTATCAAATGTGAAAGGATTTTAATACAAATTTTACATAATAAAAAATTATAATTATTTACTCTTTGTCCATCGAAGGAGTTTTACTTTTTAGGTCCAACGCATCGATTTGATAAAATTGATCAATCTGACGTAAATGAAAACGAGGTCTAAGTAAGAATTATCCTAATCTCCAGTAGCCGAAATGATAATATCATTTGCAACAAATTGTTGCGATTGTGTCGCGATTGATACCTTTGAAATCCAGTCACCCATCTCCTGCTTTGTAGAAGCTTGCAGCATATATGAATTATTATTCGTATATATTGCAAATACATTTTGTCGCTAGATAAAATATTGTGTATAGGTATTGTAAGAGAATGATAAAGAACCACAAAAAAAAAAAAAAGAAAAAATATGAACCTGTAACATTTCCTCTGTACATTTTTGATAATCAACTCTAACCGATGAGAGATTAATGACACCTTGCTCTACCGTTTCTTTTTGAGACTCATAGATAAAGAGGTACGGTCTAATAAAAACCGAGAATATAAACTTAAATTGGATAATGTCGTGAAAATAAGATTATATAAATTAAATAACGTACCTTCTCAAGACAAACCAACGCTTTACCCAATTTTCTCCCGCATTTTCCGGTGTAAGTAAATGACCCTTTTTGGTTATTGTATCCCTACGTAAATAAAGTGTGATAATTAATAATTAGGTTTAAAACAAAAAGTGGTTTAAAAAAATATACATACGTTTTGGCAACCATTCGAACTTGTGCAACCAATTTAGATGGTTTGGTGGTTTTCCAAGAATCTGTATCTTGATGCGGTCCCGAAAGAGGGGGTTCTTGATTTATGACAATCTATTTATTATAATGAACGTTATATTAGAATTCTCTTTTATACTTATATTAAGTTGAATCATAATATAATACGGATAAAAACCTCTTTATTTATACCCCACTTTTTATTCCAAAGTGTAACAGCTTTTTTGGCCAAATCATCAGAGTTAGAACAACTTTCAGGTTTTTCATCAGAAGATCCTTTGCGTGCTCCGTGTAAAGCAAGAACTTGCTTCGTACATTCGACGGCTTCTAACCTACGAATACGTTCGCTAATTGTTTTATAGTCCTTAACAAGTGATACCCCACGAGGTTTCCAATTACCCAAAAATTCTTCACCACGAACATATTTATTAGCTGTATTTAATCTCCATAGTTCAGAAATTTTACGAGTCATGGGTGGCTTAAGAACTACTGAGAATAGACCACTAGTTTTCCATAAAACCTTCGATTGATTTAACAATTGAATTAACTTTGATGGTGGTCGAGCTTCACGACCTTGGATTTGCACTGCAATATCCATATGGAAAGAAATTGGTTCAACACATTTTTCAGCTTCAACATGCCAATTTAAACCTAATAAAACACGACTATTTGATTGAGTAGTCCTATTAAGAAATATAGAATCATGAAGCGTACTGTCCCATGAAGCTTTAGCAATTATCACGCTAGTGCCATCTGCATTAAATTGAGGATTTTGAGCCAGCAACAGGTTCATTTGTATATCATTTTGTACTGGTGATTCAGATAATCTTCCTTTTCCATCTAATAATCGAACTCGTCCTATTTCCATCTTTGTGATTTTACTCCAAGGAAATTGCTGACCAGAATTATGTGTTAATGTAAGTATAATACGTCGTTGTAAACCTTGTCGTAAAAAGAAAGCACCGGGATCTAGAGGATTTTGAGACAGAACTTGTACCGGTACATACTCTCCCGTTGGAGCAAGTTCACAAACTTGAACCCAGGCCACTACATCATGTTTTTCCTCAGCGACTAATTCATCCTCAGAACGTCGTTCTCTAGAAGTTGAAGTTTCAGATAAACCGATTCCATTGACACTACGATGAAGTGGTCGCTCGTTATGACCATCCCACCGCTCCATATCCTCCAATATACAACGTTTTGCATGACCGAATACTTCGAATGTCAACGTGCCACTGGTAAGCACTTCCATCATTGCAGGAGAAACAACCATCTTTAAAGTTTTTTCATAATTATAAGTAATTGGATTATTTCCGAATTCACTTACAGGATCTGTCGCATATATATGTTCGCTTTGTGTTAAAGGATGAACATTACCGAAGGAGGATAACTTAAATTGTACATGAACTTGGCTGAATTGTGATTCTTTTATGCCAGTGAGTTCCAAAATTGTTACTTCAAAAACTACTTGGCTACCAATTGATAATTTTGTAGAAATCTCCTTTTGTTTATCAATGACTTGTGGATCTTTTGAGGTTGTATCCTCAAAATCAGTCAGGAATTTAATATGCACTTTACAATACCCATAAACTTTGCCGGAGTATCTGCAAACTACAGGTGCATTTTGTTCATATTCAGTTTTCATAAGTAAAGATGTTAATCCTACGCTAGCACTGCCAATGAAGGTGAAGCTTGGACAAGGATTTTCATAAAATGGATCTTCCCAATTGAAATGTTTACTATATTGGGGACGGTCAATGAAATTATATAAATTACGCATTTTTTGTAAACGAGCTTTAAGCTTGTCAAGAGACCATACATAAACAACATCGTTCTTTGTGTCAATAACCTTAACTCCAACACAAGGCTTTTTAGAGGCATGCAGTGATGAATCCTCGTTGTTATAAAATTGGTTAAGTGCACTTGTGCTTTCCCATAATGATACTGGATTAGTGTAGGGCTCATCTTCTATAATAGTAAATTGATAAAGAATTTTTTTTTCAAGTTCTTTACTTATAACATTGGCTTCTTTCAATATTACTGCATTACTAAGAATTGTTTCGGCCATTTGTACGAATCTCTGACGTTTCCATTTCTTGAGGGCCATATGAATTAAACGTAATTCTTCTTCAGTATAAGGAGGATCAGGCGCTGAGTTGTATCCTTCATGGGGAGTATGAGACGATCTTTTCTCTTTGCGTTGATCCTGAGCTTGAATCATTTGCATTTCTTTTTGAATCATGTCAAGTTTTTCTTGTAATTGCGCTTTCTCGGCTTTTAATTCATCAGCTTCAAGGGTTGATTTTTCTAATTCATCTAACTTCTCCCTATATTCCTGTTTTTGCAAATCAAGTTGTTGCTGCATTTCATCCTTAACTACTTTAAGTTTATTTTCTAATTCAGCTGGTATATCCTGGGAGTATATTTCATCATTAGAGCTATCATCAAAATCACTACTTCTACTATCAGGTCGAGTTCTCCGAGCACTTTGAATTTTTTTGAGATCATCCATCAACCTATGTAAATATTCATCTGGTAAAGTCCCGAGCGTATTTAAGTTAGTATCAGTTCCAGAGTTTAAACAATTAATTGCTACTTCTCTCCTTGCATAGTTCCAATCTATGACCGCTTCTGACATCAAAGAAGCTGTAGATGTAGGAGAATCTGGTGCTTTAGCGCTATCCTCTCCATTTCCATTTGGAGTTATTGGTCCACTAATACTTATGCTGAGTTGTTTCGATTTCGCTCGTTCGCGCCTAACTTCTTCAGGATTATTAAAACGGAACACATGGAAATCTCCAAGAATGATACGAAACCCGGATTTCAATTTTTTTGGTTTATTTATACGCATGCCATTTACCATTGTCGTACTGTCTTCGTGAGGATACAGCGTAACAACTCCATCTATATTTTCAAAATAACAATGCTCATCTATTATATTCTCACCACTTAAACGTATATCAGAATGAGTATCAGACTCTAGACGACCAATTCGTGTTTTTCCAGGTTTTATTTGGTAAACTAAGCATTCTGACATGAGAGGATCCTCATTGAGATTGACAAGATGCGGTACTTTCTTAGGAGGATGTACGCCAACAGCATTCTTTTCAACCATAATACCAAGTTCTTCCAATGTCTTTTCACGTTCTTTTTGGATTTCTTCGGTTTTTCGTATTTTTTCCGCCCAAGATTCATTAACTTCATCCATTAATTTTTCAGAAGCTTGAATTTGATCGATTAATTCCTCTTTTGTCTTCTTTATAGTATTTCCGTTTTTATCCTGAAGTACAACAACTTGTTGAGAAGGAGGAACACTGGGATCATAAGGTTCACTTGAATCATAAGAGGCATCGCCGCCAAGTTTACTACGCAACATCTGTAATTCTTCTTTGAGTTCACGAATGAGTCTTGCATTGGGATCTTCGTTAACAACAGCTTTGTTCTTAATACGTTTAGCCGCATCAGCGTAACGTAAGGTACTAAGCGTTTCATCATAATCAGCTGCAGAAATGGCAGCAATCATGGCGGTTTTAGAGTTACCACCTAAACTGTCTTTCAACAACCAAGTTAAAACCTGAATGTATCATATTTAAATTTGATTAAAAAAACATGCATTAATATAGTTAAATAAAAATTCTCAACGACAAATTAGATCATTAGTTATGAAAATAACATACAGAATCTCTATATGGGACAAAAACTTCTTTCTTGCCCTTTTTTTTATCGCCAGACGACTGTTCAGCTAAAGAGGCAATAACTTTACCCAATGTTGTTAGTGATTTGTTGATGTTTGCTCCTTCTTTTAGCCGAGTTCCAGTTGCACCAGTTGAATTAGCACGTTCTGAACCAGCCAAATCCACAAGACTAATATACAATTTATGAAAACGTTAATAATTTAAATGAATTAAAATAAAAATATATATAAAATTAATTTACCTAATGCGAGCTACTTTCTCAGTATCCATATTTGTTTGAGTGTCATGCCTTTTCTGTGTTACTAATAAGGTAAATACAGCATGCGACCGACTTGATGTTTCATTCATATTTGTTGCAGCTACTGTTCTCGCCTAATAATTCATAATTTTTAGGTACTTAAAATTATTCATATCATTAAATGATTTCAAATTTTACCTTGTTACCCTCGTCCATTAAATTCTCAATATCATTAAAAGAGTTAACTATTAGCTTTGACAAATCTTCTACATATGGACCTAAAGCCGGATGTTCTCTGACTTTAAGATTGCCTTTGTTTTTAGGGTTTAATAAGTCTCTAACCCGCTCATTGTAAATTTCAATATAAGAGACTTGTACTTGATATGTGAGATTAGGATCTTGGTTATTATTTATGCGGTTAAATAATTCACAACAGGTGAGAGGTATAATGCCTTTCTCTTCTCCATAACCCATCTTTTCATGTAATATTAGAAAAATTAATAAAAGTTTTTTACTTATGCATGTAATATTTTACAGTACACACCATAGAATAAGATTTCCCTGCGCCAGTTTGACCGTCTAAAGTATAAATTCAATGATAGTTATTATGTTTATTCAAAACAGAATTTTTGACTAAATTTAATAAATTGTGTAGCGACTTACAGGCAAAAATACATGTATTGTACCCTTCAAAAGCGTGGTCGAGAAGTTCTTCACCGAGATCGTTATATAACATTGCTTGGGTGGCATAATTTGGATCATTCTTATCAAAAGACCAATATGATTTATCAAACGTAAACGATTTCACATCTTCAACACCATCTCGTTTAGCAGCTTTAGAATTTCCAGGGTCATTTGAATCTGGCCTGGTAATAAACGTTTGATTTCCCTCCATTCTAATGAGACATTTTGCCCCCCGGGCAATTTCTAATTAAATCGTCAAAGAATAAAAATATAAATAAAATTCTCAAATGTATAAATGCACCCTAATTTTATTTACCTCTAGAATTCAAAGGTCGACATCGAACAACTACTTTAATATTTCCACCTCCCATGATGACTTTGTTTTATAACAAAGTATTTATGTAAAAAAAAATAAGACAGCGGGCCTAAAAGCCCAAACTAATAAACCAGATGAAGTTAAATGTATGGGACTTAAAAAGAATTCAAAAAAATTACAATTGGCGGAATTGTTTAAAAGACCAAAATTGAAAATATTTACAAAATTGAAGAGCAGATGGTAAAAATTTTAAATCAAAAAACTAATAGTTTAAATTAATGACAGGTAAAAACATATTGGAATGCAAAAATTTGCAAGGCCATAAATCACAAAGGACTCGGCATAGAAGAAGCTTATTGCAAGCGAGATAGGTGAGGTTTAGGCGGTTTGGCAGTTGGCACAAACAGTTCGTTGCACTGTTTTCCATGTATGGCATTTTTTTTACAATTTTCATGCGGAATATGCGAATATTTGATCAATAGATAGTGTAAAGGTTTATTTTATCATTATTAAATTTTAGCTTATAATGCCAGTCTTTGTTCAAAAGGTACTATTGTTCTACATTATTCATATGCTTATACTAATACAGAACAGCCACATGAGTCGCCACGATAGCCACAAGTACACAATAGTACTACATAACACTACAAACAATAGTACCTAATATAGACACAATATAATCTTGAATCTTATTCAGTTATCGCCACAAATTTAACTTTTTAATGTTATTAAATAGCTAAATTGTATTAATGATAATTAATAATAAACATAGTAAATCAATTACTTTTTTGGTATATCTATATATAATTATTTGACCGGATTATATAATGAAAAAAACAAAATATTTTAAATTAGATAATATATTTATATATTAATTATCAGATAATATAAAAAATAATAAAATCAAATATAAAATAAAATATAAATAAAAATTAAATATAATATTAAGTGTTTTAATTGGCTAAATTTATTGATTATATGAATGTTTTTAAATTAAAAAATAGGAATATCATCTTTAACTTAAAATAAATAGTTATAGATTAATATGCTAAATTCTGTTAAAAGATAAAATAAAAATATATTATATATACTTTTTATTAAGAACAAGTCAAAGCTATTACAAATATACGTACAGAACATATATAAGCAAGCTACCTAGACTATTTATACAAAATAAACTACTTGTCATTACATTTAGAAACCCTATGTATACACAGTTGGGCAGTTATAAAGCTATACAAATATGGATCCTTATAGTCCCTATATACTGTAATTTACGCTTAATAAATTACAAAATTAACTCTAATATAGACCATATTATTATTATAAAAATATTGAAAACAAAAAAGGAATGTAAAAAGCTTCTGATGGCAGTTTTTTCTTTGTTTTAAGTTAGAAGTATAATACCTTTTCCAATCACCAGTATATTTATTCAAGCTAAAAGCCTTACCAATGATTTTATCCAAATTAGCCTATGATTCATAATAAGTAGCCTCTATTTTGAATTAATTTAAATGCTTTATATCCTGTGGATATAAATATAGAATGAGTAGAATTATTTGAATATAAAAATGCAATAGTGGTAGAAGCAAGAACTCTTATCAACACTACCTGAAATCTTTCTCATTTTTTTCTTTACTTAAAATCCTAGTTAGCCAAAAACTATTGTATAGGTAAACTTTCAAGTAGAGCAATTTAAGCTCTACTATTTCATAAATCTAATACTGCTTTGTTAAAGTTTACTGATACGATAATAGTAATGTATTTCTGTTACAATTTAAATTTAATCACAATCACTTAATTTCAGACTTTTAAGTAATTAAGTATATTAAGTTGAATCTATCTGAAGAGAATGTCATAGACTGTAATTTTACAAACATAACTTCTATCTCCAGATTTGTATCCAGTTATCATAGTATTAATAGTTTTGGGTGCTAGTATAACTAGTTGTTTCTTAGAAGTCTTATGATTAGTACTAGTCAAGCTAGTTTTAGAAGGTGAATTCAATCTACTGAAGTCACTATTTGAGTCCTGTTTAACTATTTCTGTATAAAAACTTGCTTAGTAGCTTTTCTTTAGAAGTAAAAGGAGTGGCATTTACTTTAAGAGTTACAGATAACACTTTGATTTGTGCTACTTTCTTTTCAATTTATATTACTTCTATATCAATTGGTGATTAGTACTTATTATAAGCAAAAATTTTTATATCCATCAAGACATTTTCTGTGAAACTGGACGTATAATTGGATTGTTGTGATGATATCAACAAACTTTCTTTCCAAATTTCATTAACTTTCTGACCAATTAAAAGCTGAAAATGTTGAGAATATGAAAAAATTTGTTAAGATTTTTTACTTTAAAGATTGCGAAAATATTTTAGAACTCTATAAAAAAAACTTTATAAGAAGCTAAATTTTCTTTGCTAATAAGTTTAATGGTATCTACTATATGTGCTTCACTTATATTGTCAGCTTTATATACATTTAAGCCAACCTTTAAAAATTTAAGAAAAAAACTATCTCCAAGGTTATTAATAAGTTGTTTGACTTTTAAATAGTCAACTTGTGATCTGTTGTTAGTATCAGAAGCTATTTTTCAATGAAAAAGTTACTGATAATTTCTTGGAAAAAATGGTTTATATGATTATTAAAAAAAAATCCTCTAAATTTAATTTTTACTGATTTTTAAAAAATCAAAAATATTAAATTAAAAAATTGAAAAATTATAAGATAATTGTACAATTTTACAATTAGCTGTAATATATTAATATATTATTATATTATATGATTTATATTTATTTATTAATTTTAAACTTTATTTTTAATTTTTATATTTGAATTTTAAGGACCCCGGATATCTCCAAAACAGGTCATAAGTCACACTTTCGGCAGATTGGCCCATTTTTCAGGGGCTTAAAAAATCGTTTTTTGTAAATATCTCGGCATCCAGTGGTCCAATTTTGATGAACATTTTTTTAAATTGTAGAGCTAAATGAGGGCTACAAAATAAAAAAAAGTTCATTAAAATTGAATTACTAGATGCTGAGATATTTACAAAAAACGATTTTTTGAGTTTCAGCAAAAAGGGGTGTTTTTGGCCAAAAGTCCATTATGACCTTTATATTAGATATCCGGGGTCCTGAATTTTAACTACTTATTCAAATATAGTATTCCGTATGAATCAAATTTTTTCTCTAAAATTTGATTCAATTCGGATTTGATTTGAACTTGATTTGACCTAAAAAATAATTATCTCAAATTTAGTAATTTAATTTTAATGATTTTTTTTTAATCAATAGTTCTCATTGCCCTAATCAAAATAAAAAAAAGTTATTCACAAAATACATTTTTATTCTTCAGAAATAATCAAATTACACCATATCATGAATCAAACATTAGAATCATAATTTGATTTAGATTCAAAAAAAAATTTCAAAAGTATAATGTTAAATTCAGAGGAATGAACTTTATTAAAAAATTTAGAACTAATTTTATGACCTTTTTTAGGGGACGTCTAAAGCGGAGTCAAATCACGTGACTTCGAAAAAAATTTATTTTCTAAATAAAATTTTTCGCAATATATATATACGACCTTTTAAACATATATACTAAGTGTATTTTGGCCTGCTCTGCAAGTTTACTTAGAATGACAAAATGAGTTTTGAATGC